CCGGTACTGGGATGCCCTGCACACCATTCCCTCCCAAGACAGGGATGCCATCCCAGTACTGGGATGCCTCCATACTATTACCCCCAGGACAGGGATGTTCTCCTAGTACTGGGATGCCCGCACTGCCATTACAGGGAAGGGAGCCCAGGCGCAGGGACAATGGCCCCAGGGTGATGCAGCTCTGCTGGCCTGGGTCCCCTGCCCCAGCAGGACAGTCCCCTCAGTGCAGGTGGCCTGTGACAGGGTGCCTGGCCATGGCTGGGGTTCCTGGCTGGGGCGCTGAGGTCTCCGTCCCGCTGGCAGGGAGGGCAGCGGGTGGCTCTGCCGGGTGGGTGTGATGGACTGGAGAAAGGGATGTCAATGGTGGGCTCCATCCCTGAGTGGTGAGCTCGGCTGTCCCCAGGGATGCTGGCTGCACCCACAGAAAATGTGTGCCAGCATTACCTGGCATGCAGGGTGAGTGGAGCACCTTCCCCAGCTCACCCTGAGGTCAGAGCCAGCCCGCAGACTTCGTTACACAAGGTGACAGCCTGGAAAGCAAACAAGTGCCAGTTTCCTTCTGCTGGGATCTTGCTCAGAAGCATTCTCCTCTGCGGGGATGGAGGGACCTTTCTCCAGTGGATGCCGGGCTGGAGGGGACCCGTGGCCAATGTCCATGCTCCTGGGGAGGTCTAGACCTCTCCAAAGAGCTGGTGTGTTCCCAGAGGACTCAGGAAGCTTCAGCCCCATGTTCCCTGGTGCAGTGGCATCCACAATGTCACCCGTGGGACAGCTGGCCATGCTTACTATGGCCAAGGGGGAGTGTGCAAGAGGGAGACCTCAACATCTCACCCACTGGCTCCCACCCCAGGAGCCAGAGAGTTTTTGGAGCAACCCAAAATTACAAAATTAAATATGTGGAGAAGCTGGTAAAGCTTTGCATCGGTGGCTCTTAAAGTATACTGAGAAAACAGATTCAAGCCAGCTTTTATATGGACGTCGGCTGTGAAATCCTAAAGAAGGGGTGAAGAGCATCATCAGGGAGGTGTGATGTGGCATTGCTGAGCCACGCGTCTAGAGGCATCTCTGCCCAGCATCTCAGCATCACGCACGTCTCGGCAGCCTTTGGGAGCATGAAGTAGCTGGGTGAGGGGCTTCCCCCATCCCTGGCACCCATCTGTGGTGGGCAACACTTGCCAGTGTCCCGCTGGCGCAGGGCTCTCCAAAAAATGGCCAGCAGGAGTGGTAGTGGAGGTGGATTCACCATGGTGGTGGGAAATGTCTCTGGGGGTTAATTACCCTCATCATCAGAGGTGCTTTCTGCTGCCCTAATTGGAGCCTGTCTGGCCTCAGTCGGGCATGGGCTCGTGGGGATGGGGCAATGCTGTGCATGGGGCACCTGTGGGAAGAGGCTGCTGGCAGAGCAGGTCCATGTCCCAGCACAACCCTGGGCTGCTCCTGTCCATCTCCAAAAGCTTAAATCTAGAGAGAGCTGCTAGCCTCGAGCTCATCCTGTGGATGCTCTGGAGTTGGATGCCTCCAGCCAGGAGAGGAGTGTAGCTGGGACCCCCCAGGAAGCTGGCGCTGGAGACATGTCTGTGTGGGGTAGCGTGGGGATATTGGCATCCCCTTTTCTTCCCAGTGCTCACTACCCTGCTCTCTCTCCCCTCAGATTTGGACATGGCCAGGGAACCGAAGCCAAGCCGGGCCAGGCTGGGCCAGAAGCGGCAACACGGCAGCAGCCTGTACCAGTGAGTGCTGGCACATGGGGCGGGGGCTCTGCTGGGGGGCACGGCTCCGCCTGGGACTGTCCCACGCCTGGCTCCTCTTCCTCCCCCTGCTCTCTATCACTCATGCCTCTGACTATTCCAGCTGCCTGCCCATGCTGGTGGGCATGGGTCTGTGAGATGTCCCTGCCCCATCCCGATTGGGATCTTGGAGCGTTGCATGGCTGCACTGGTGGCGGCTGGAGTCCTCGCTGGGTCCCACCCAGTGTATGTTTCCAGCGGGGTGTGGAGATTCCCCATCTGAAGGTGCCGGGAGAAGAGCAGAGCCCCATGGTCTCCATGCCTGTTACAGCTGTCGATGTTGGTTGCAGTTCTGGCCTTTAAATGCTGTTCCTCGAGGGACAGACACCCCTGCAGAGGCACAAAGGGGTGATGATGATCCTGACAATGGCAGTAGATGATGGTGATGGTGGCACCGATGGTAGCAGAAGAGCAGGTCCCCATCCCTACGTGCTTTTAACTCCCTGGCTTGGCAGGCGTATGGTGAGGAGGGGACCAGAGCCTGGCTCCGTCTGTCTCGTTAGAGAGCTTTCTGCAAACGCCCTGATTGAACTAATTGCTCTGCCAGTTGCCATGGCGCCGGAGGGATGCAGCACTGGCAGGGCAGGGACCGCTGGTCCCCTTGGGCCGCTGGAGCATGGTAGCCGCTGCTTTTGCTCTTCCCAGGGGATGCTCTGAGCAAAGAGCTGAGCTGGAAAAACCTTTGCTGTGTCCTTAGCTGGGTGCCAGACCCCAAGACCAGGTCTCCTGTGGAGCCACTGGTGCTCCTGCGGTGGGACATGGCCTGTGACATCCCTGTCCCTCTTGGCAGTGGCTCTGAGCAGCAGCAGCCGTCGGAGCTGACACCTTCCCTGTGCCCCGTTCATGGGTTGGGACTCGTCTCCGGCTGCCCATTCCCCTCTTCCCCAAGGCAGGTTGTGACCTTCCTCCCTGGGTGATGGGTGGGAGGTAGGCATGCGAAGGACTTGCCATCCCTGTCACAGCGATGGAAACTTGGAAGGCAGCGAGGCTGGACTCAAAGTTCCTCAAATATCCCCAGGTGCAAAGAACAGGAGCAGGCAGGTCCTGGCACCCCGGGGCTGCCAGCTTGCCCTTACCAGGAGGGTTGGCACTTGTGGGCTGCACTCCATGCAGATTATTCTTGACTAATCCCATCCAAAGGCAGGGTGACAGCAGGGCTGCAGGTGCCTTTGCCCCATGGCAGGCTCCAAGCTGCCTCCTGGGCTGGGCAAGCCCAGGTTGCCTGTTAGCCCCGCCAGCAGACCTTCAGCTCTCCCTGAGCTCCAGCATCGGTCCCATGGTAACAGGCTCATCTGCAGCAAAATTTGGAGCCCTGGGGGACCTTGTCCTGGTCACCCCATTCCCAGCAGCGTGGCTGGGGAAGGCTCCCTGCTCCCAGCAATGCTCTGAGCACGGCTTTGTCTCCCCTCGGGTTAGGCTTAATCCTATGCTCCCTGACTCCACAAGAGCTGAAGCAGCAAAATGAGCTTCAGCATCTTTCCTCCTCCTCCTCCCCCCGGCTCCTGGTCCATGGCGCATGATTTATTACCGGCACGTCGGCTGCCCGCATTGGAGACGATCCATTGACAGATCGCTTCTTAATTTGGAGCCGAGTGAGCCGGCAGTGTGCGCGTGGAGCCAGGGACCGTGAAATTTAACATCAGGGTGCTCTAAATGCAGCTTCCTGAGAGCAGAGCCTGCTGATACTGCCCTGGGGGCTCTCTCCATCCTCCTCAGCACCCTTGCTTGGCTCCAGGGCAAGCCCCTGACAGGGCACAGCCACCTCCCTGGGCTGTGCTGCAGCCCAGGCAGCTTGAGCAGTACCCTCCAGGATGCCTCCTGCTCCCTGGGGATGGGGATGGATGCTGGGTGGGTGCCTGCTATGCCCAGCCATGGCTGTTCCACGTGTGGCCCTGCAGAGCAGGTGACTTGTTCTTGTCTCTCCCCCTCCTGCAGCAGTAACTGTGACCTGGACTATGATCTCTACAGGGATGACTTCCCATACCGGTGAGTGCGGCATCCCAGGAGCGGGGTGGGCTGAGCACATGTGGGTTTGATATGCTGTTGCACCTCTGCTGAAGGTGAAAAGCAGGATGTTCCTGGGCATCCATCCCCTCGCCTCTGGGAGAGGGCTCAGTGGCAGTGCCCCCTTCGAGGGGCATGTATGCCACGGCTTCCCAAGGCTGGGAGCCTTGGGAATGGGGTTCATGGGGCGGGGCAGCGTGTGGGCTGGGCAATGCCCAGGTTGGGGGTCCTTCACCATGGAAGAAACCCGGGAGATGCTCTCCTGGCTGGCAGGGGCTGCTGCTGCACCTCTGGGGTTGCGCTCACCGTGCCATGCTCTTGTGCCCTTGCAGGGTGTACGAGTACCAGAAGATCCCCCCTCTCATTAACCGCATCCCAGTCAAGGCCAGACGAACTCATGTGGGAGCAGGAAGCAAAAGCAGCCTGAGCCCCCAGCCCGGGGCGAGGAGCAGCACCAGCTCCACAGCGGGACGGACAAAGTGTAAGTGCGATGAGGCTGGGAGGAAGAGGAGGCTCGGCCCTCACATCTCAGAGCCTTACAACAGTGCCGGTGCCCAAAGGTCGCACTCGGTGCTGACCCTGTTGCTAGGAGTCACCAGCTCCAGCAGACACAGCCTGGACTGCGCTGGGCTGGTGGCTGTCCCCTGGACCCCTCCCCTTTCCCCAAGGATGCCCAGTGGGGAGGATGCTCCAGAGAGGAGGGTGCTCTGGAGGTGGCTGCCCAGGATAGTGCGTTCCCCCAGCTCCAAGCGGGCTGTAGGGCAGGGTGGGATCCTAATGGCTCCTCTCCCTCCAGTGCGGGCCGAAGAGCTGCACTCCATCAAGGGGGAGCTGAGCCAGATCAAGGCGCAGGTGGACAGTCTGCTGGAGAGCCTGGACCGCATGGACCAGCGGAGAGAGCGTCTCACAGGTGAGGGGATGGGCCATAGACACTCCAACACCCACGTGTCCGTGCCGTGCAGCCTGTGGGTGCATGCAAGCCTGGACCCCAATCCAGGTGGAGAGCCCAGGAGGGAGCTGAGCATCCAGAGCTGGCTGGGAAAATTTCCTGCATCCTTCCCCTTCCCTGGGCTGGCCGGGCAGAGTCCAGCCCTTTGGCACAAGGGGACCCTGTGAGGACAGGGCTGATGTTTGCACAAGTATCCCAAATTTCTGCTGTCTCTGTCTTTGCAGGGTCCAGGGAGAGTGAGAAGAAGAGGTTAGAGACAGGGGCAGAGTCGTCGTCCCCAGCAGGAGAGGGGTCACGGGAGCCCCGGGGCAAGGAGGGGATGGGAGCTGATGGGCACAGCGACCTGCGCAACATCGACAGCACCGAGGAGAGCACGGACACGGAGGAGACGGTAAGAGGGTGGCCAGATCCTGTGCAGGGCTCTCTGCTTTCCTAAAATTCATCCCCACTTGCTGCCCACGTGGGTCCCAGTGGGGATGCCCGGAGCAGAGGAGGTGCTCCACCAGGGTTCCCCGAGCCGTCCCGGCTGCATGCCAGGGCTACAACTACCCATGCCTCCAGGACAGCCCCCAGCACCCTGCAGCAAACCCCTGGGTGTGCATTTACTCCAGCAGACCAGGCTGCAAAAAAAATCCTCGGAGTAGAAATACCCTTTATCAAAGCTGCCGCTCCTGCACCCACATTCCCCGGCTGGGTGCAGAACCCCAGGGGTCCCCATGCTGGGCAGGGCACTGGGTTTGATCTTGCTGCCCAGGCACATCAGAGGATGGCCGCCCTGTGCATTTCTCCTTGCAGGTGAAAAACCACATGTCGGACCCTGAGGGGAGCCAGTAGACAGACTGGGATGCCGTAGCCTCCCTGTGTGGCCAGCCCTTCCCATCTTGTGTTTGTATTTCTTTTGAGGCTTCCAGCTAGTGCCACGCACGACGCGAGGTGCCCACTCTTGGCACAGCCATACCCTGCTGCCAGTGCCGGCAGTCCCACGTCCCACCCCTGCGAGATGCCGGCTGGCTGTGGCGAGAGAAGTCTTTGTGCTGAAGTGCGCTTGTTTTCTTTTTCCTCCTGTTTTCAGACCTAGGGATAAGCAGACGTGGCCAGGGGAGGGAGGGGAGGAGCAAAAAAAGGACCATATCCCACAGGAGCATCCCAAATCCCGGCTGCGTTGTATGCAAGCATTCCTCCCACCTATAGGGTGCTGTGGGGCGCAGAGAAAGCACCCTGGGGCACTCAGCCCCTACCGCACAGGTCGCATTTCAACCTCCCCTGCCCTGCAAGCCCACCCACTGCCTCCGTGCTTCAGACCCTCCCAGGAATTGGTTCAGCAAGGTTCAGCATGCATGGGTACAGCCCAGGAAGGCTTTCGGAGCTGCTTGGCATCCCACCGTGATGCCATGGGAAGGAGGGACCACCCTGAGACAGCTCCGAGGGGGTTTCATGGGATTTGGGGATGGAGGGGTGGTGCTGAGCCCAGCTCTGATGCTGGCTGCAGGGCCAGCAGTGGGGTGATGATGCAAAACCAGTTGCTCCCAGTCACCCCTGCTCACAAATGGGTTTTCCTTACTGGATTACCGCAGGCTGTTCTCAGCCACGGATTGTGTTTGCGGTCAGCAGGGCTCCCCTGAGCAGCTTTCCAGGGCTCCTCACCTGTGCCTGTCAAGAAGTCGTGGCCCCCCCCCGTGCTCCCCAGCATTGCATCTTGGTTTGGTGTCCCTCATTTCTAGGTCGTCCTTCTCTTGCTGGTAGGAACTTGTTCTGTATTTCTAATTTGCTCTGGTAAGAGTGTATTGTGTTGGAAAAAAAAAAAATTTGTATTTCTTTTCTCTGGTTATTCAACTCTGATACAGTTTTTAACTGTCCCAAGTGCACATGTAATTTTTTTACCCAATTTTGTGTGCTGCCTGACGCAGCCCTTGGCTCTGGGGGCTTTCTAGGATGCTGCCTTCCCCACAACTCAACCCAGAGGCAGGAGGAGTACAGCTCTGTCCTGTTTCTCAAAGGAAACGCTAATCACTGCCTTTACCCAGAATATTCCCTGCCAGCCGGGCAGAGTGCAGCTGGGCAGACAGGACCAGCTCCTCTCCATCCCCAGGAATAACCAGACCCCGACAGTGCCCAGCTCCCTCCACACCCCTCAAGGAAGGACAGCGGGAGCAGAGAAGGGTGACCCTGATGCCTGGCAGCCAGTCACTACAAGTGCATCCTTCCACCTCTGCCCACGGCTGGCAGAAGCCCCAGCAGAGCCACGCAGGCAGAAGACTCACCAGAAAAAAATTATTTATTGTTAAAAAAATCCAACAAAATACATCTCTGCCACCATGAAGTGCTGCCTGGGCAGGAGGTCCAACGGATGCACAGTCTGTCCCATGACATGGTTCCTGCCTGGTGCTGCCTGGACCCTGCCTGCATGGATGGTCATGGTGGGCAGCTCGGTGTGAGGGTCTCAGCTCTGGTGCTAGGGCCACCCCGGGGTGGGGTATGGGGTCCCGCAGTGCAGGCAGCTGCTTGGAGGGAGATCTCAGGCAGGGTCTGGCAGCGTGGGGCTGGTACAGGCAGGCTCTAGCAGCTGAGACAGTATGGAGGCTGTTCTTGGGGTGTTCCAGAAGCATGCGAGGCTGCTTGGGTACTGTAGGGCCACTCAGGAGGGGTCTCCTGCAACATGGGGGCTCCTTAGGCAGGCTCCAGGGTGCTCGGGCAATGTGGGGGCTGCTTCAGGGGCTCTCTGGCAGTGGGCGGGGAGGCACGCTACAGTCTCCTCAGGCAGGTTTCTTGGGCCTCCAGCTGTGTGGGCAGCTCCGGGGGGTCGCTGGCAGTGCAAGGGCTGGCTTGGGCAGGCTCTGGGGTGCCTCTGGCAGCGTGAGGCACGGATCAGGCAGGCTCCAGGGGTCTCT